TGTTCAGCTGCACAAGAGAAGGCTCCAGGGACACCTCAGAGCCCCTGCCAGGGCCTCCAGGGGCTCCAGCAGAGCTGCACAGGGACTGGGGACAAGGCCTGCAGGGACAGCAGCCAGGCAATGGCTCCCACTGCCAGAGGGCAGGGTTGTATTAGGTATAAGGAAAAATTTTATTTACAGTTACTTTAAGAAAAACATTGGACAGGATTTCGAGCAACCCAGTCTAGTGGAAGGTGTCCCTGTCCATGGAATGGAAGGTGGAACGAGATGGGCTTTAGGGTCCATTCCTACTGAAACTGTTCTGGGATTGTATGAAATATGTTGCAGTAGCAATTCATTGCTCCTCTAGAAACTCACACATTACAGCTTAAAGACAATTTTCAGTTCAGCATAAACAGGGCTTTAAAAGCACTGTTTAAAGTAACATCCTGTACTCCTTTCCCTAAACAACAGTCATAAACATTTTTGTTCAGGAAAATCCCATCAGACTTCTGTAAGAGGAAACCATACCAAAGAAATTAAATTACTAACATAGAAAACCATAAAGCAAATAAATGGTTTGGTTGGGGAGCTGAAACTTCTCAAATACAGCAGTATGTATCATCAAGGGTAGCAATTTTCACAGTAGCTTGAGAAACATAATCAACCCTACAAAAAGATGAAGACTTTTTTTTTTTACTGAAGAGTAAAAAGGGAATTCAGGGCTTCATCCTCCTCTCAGATGTGAAGAACTACAGCAATGCAGTCAGACTTTACAAGCATTGATGTTTAAGGACACTCTTCACAACTTATTTAAAAAAAGAAATAAGCAATGTTTACAGCTGGTACACAGGCCTCCAACTTTGCTCTCCAAGCAGGTACAGCAGGGCTGTGATGACACTCAAGTACAACCTACTGCATCCCACAGCATGCACAAGTTACACACATCTCTGATCTGTACCCCTTTAAAGCACACATACTTCTCTAATTCCACTTGACTCCCACCAGCATCAGGAGAATTTACACAAACCTCTTTACTCATGTCATTCCCTGAATCTCACTGAAACCTCTGTGACTACCAAAGAAATCAACACAAGTGCAACAACAGAATTCTTAGTGTCTCACACAGCCCTGCACATGAGCAGCTGTGGTGGTTATGTACAAAAAAAGGAAAACTGGATGGTGTTTCTAGCCCCATGAAATCATTTGATGTTAAAAGTCCACGTCTAATTAGTGAGGTGCATGGCAACCTCTAGTGGCATATGCCTGCTTAGGAAACAGCAAACATTCCAGAGCATGAAGCTACAGGAAAAGCATTTGCCTGAAGTGATCAGCCCTTTTCTTGTCACTAATTTTATTAGAATGACATGGAGAGGAGATGCCAGAACACAGCTGATCTGAAGAAGACCCTCCAAGTGTTACATATACTACAGCAGTCAGGCAAGCTGCAGAAAAGCCAGATATAATGAATGAAAGCTGTTGCCAAATAGGTTAAAGGAATTAATGCAAACTGACTTGCAGTGTTAAGTGACAAACTGAATACTCGCACTACTATGCAGGTACATTTAAATATAATTTTAAGATACTACAAACAGCAGCACTCCACAGTACAGTGCAGTACCACCCTCAGCAATCTGCTGATAAAAAAGCTCTGAGTAATTAAACACAAACCCATGGTAGCAGTGCATAGAGAATCTCAGAATATTCTGAGCTAGAGGGGACCCACAAGGATCACTGAGTCCAACTCCTCAGTGAATGGCCCATGCAGGGATCAGAGAAGGGAAGGATTTCAAAGTCAAGGCAATCTACAACAGAGGACATCCAACACTAAGTGAACCCTGGATCTTACTAGGGAAACATCTATTACTTCTATTTTTAACTTCCAGCAGCTGCTTGTGATAGATTTACACAAATCAGACAATTTTCATGCTTTGCTGGAACGTGATACAAATTACCCAACATTATGAAGTTGTATTTTACTGAGCTCTTAAGTGCACTACATGAATATTCCCAGCTCATTCTTTCACAGAAAATAGTCTTCAGAATTTAAAACAATTGGCTGTCTCTGCTCAGAATAGGATTAGGAAAAAGCCTGTGTGGAAATGGAATTAATTCTCACATTAAGGAAGGAGTCATTAGAGCATCTGGTGAGGTTTAAATTATGACTGTCTATTCAGTTGTATTGCTAAGCAGATTTTAAGTGTTTCAGAGCTACTTAATTTAGAAACCTACACCCTGAAATACTTCATGTAATATAAATACTGTTTTGTTTGTCCTTCGCAGAAAACGCTTTCTGATTAAGATGCTTGTACTCTGATGGTGAAGCAGAATAGGAGCATAAACATATATATATATTCTGCTTTGTCATCATGAAAGCTGGGTCCATCACTGCTGGCAAAATTTAGTAATTGTGGATAACAGACTTCTTAAGGCAGAAAAAGGAAGAACCATATATGACTTAAATACCAGCCCCTTAAGAAATACATGTATTTGTACTGCTTTTCTTGTAACTGAAACTTCATAGCAAATCTAGTGTATTTTGAGAGGAAATTAGCTTAAAATACTCCCTCCATCGTGATTAAACCTGCCAAGGAGCCCAAGGCTGTAAAGTTTCTGAGAAGAAAATGCAGTAAAGTCTAACAGGAGACAGGCTGCTCCTGGAACTGGCTCTTCCTTCCAGCCTGCTCATGTCCTACTCCCATAGGACACTTTACAACAGATTTTAATACATTTTTAAAGTCGTGTCTTTTGATTTACAAGCAATCATGACCACAGTGACAAATTAAATTCCAGTCTTGGTGGTCATTTTTCCCTACTGTCCAGATGTACAGTTTTCTAACTCCAGAATGAGATCCTCTTTCCCTAATACTCCTCTTGTTTTTGCTGGTTCTGTTTCAAATCTAAAGTCACCTCCTTCATTACAATTTCCACTTATAATAATATGGAGTGCCTGGCTACAGTAAGACAGAAGCTTAAAAGCAACAGCATGGAATGCCTTTGGACTATTTAAGAATGTCATAGTATACATAATACAGATCTTATTGCCTTTGATTTACTTCTTCAGTTGATGAGTATGACCATTTTCTCTACCAGCCCTTACATTACTTCCAGGCAGAACAATACAGCTCCAACTCTGCCAGCACCAAATGGCTGAGATAGCCAGCATCCTTCTCTCTGCTGTCCTATCAGACTAACATAACTAACATACCATTCTCCAAATGCACTGAGATCTCAGACTAATTTACAGAATCATAGAATAGAACTATAGAACCATTTAGGTTGGAAAAGCTCTTGATGACCATTGAGTCCAACCATTCCCCAGCAGGGCCCAAGGCCACCACTGACCCAGGTCCCCAAGTGCCTCATGGCTTTTAAACACCTCCAAGGATGAGGACTACAACTGCTGGACTCAATGATCTTGCACTCTGACAGAATCTCCTTTCCCTTTTTTCTGCCATTCACCCCTTTGCCTTCTTTCTGCACTCATCAGTGTCAGGCAGCAGAACAAGTCTTGTCTGCTTCTAATAAGAATATCACAGCTAAAAATCAAGCAGCATTGTTAAAGTTATGTTGTAACTATTCAGGTTGAGAGACATTAGGAATAAGGCTCCCAAACATTAGAGGATCCTAATAAAAAGCTGCATGAAATGAGTGAAAGAGAAATTCTTGGGTCTTGAGACTAGCAAGTAACTGCTTCTTGCCCCTAATATACCCAGAAGGACACACCTCACTTTGGGCTGCAGAAACAGCCATAGAATAAAACAGAACAAAATCAGAACCCAGGACCAAGCTCTGAAGTGGCAAATGAAGTGTAACAGTAAGAACCAGACCAAGTTTTTGAGAGGCAGAGAATTGTATCTCACACCACACCAGGATCTCTGATTTCAGAACATTTCAAAGGCTTGGAAAACATAGACTTCAAGTCTATGATTTGAGAAATGAGCACAGCAAATATCTAAGACAATGTATGTGTCAAGAAAGAGGAAAATAGCTCCATTTCAAACTCTGAACCCTCTTTACTTCTGCCAAGGGTATGAAAAGAGGGCAAGTGTAAGGCAGGTGAAAGGCACCAACACAATGCATTCATTGGTAACCTGTCCTACTTATACCACCAACCATTTTCAAAGAAGTGTCTTGGAGAGAATTAAATCCTTAAGAACAAGCCGTATGTCATGTTAACCCAGTCCTTGACAAAGTGTACAGGTACACAATTATTATTTTTGGCACGCAGTCTGTACCTGACAAGCCCTGTAACAATTTATTCCAGATCACATTAAAAAGGACCTTCCTAGTTTCCCTTGGAGCATGGAGCAGGGCTGGCTGCCAAGATGAGGGGGATGCCTGGCACAGGGTTACCTGCCTTTACAATGTGCTCTGTAGCACAGAAACACAATAGGAAGGACCAACTTCAATATCTGCTTCTTCAAAGTTCTGGCCTTGTATTACAACCACAGCAGATACCGACTATTGACTACTATACAGAATAATAAACTTAATTATTTGGAAAGCATAGATTTAGGCTTTATTGCCCATATTTGCAGGGTTTTGTCACAAATGATCATTTAATTATATCTGATTTTAAGAATAGATCTTTTGCCAAATATGCAGGAAGAAATTTGTAGAAAATCCATGCTGTGTAGCACTTGAGAACCAGCACTCAGTGCATTTTTATAACAACTGAATACATGAATGAATTTGTAATTCAAACAAACCCCTGAAAACCTTCTGTTTTGAAGGCAGGTATTGAGCTGTTCTGTTAAGAGGATCAAAAGGCAGAAGTTTCTCAGACAGAGAAACTAGTATTTTTACTGTCCATTCAGAGCAGGTTCAAATATAGAGCAAGTAAGATTTATTCTGGGATTATTTACTTACTCAGATATCATTTCTGCTGTTTAGTTCATTGATATCTACTAAGGCATATAAAATTAATGCTTCTGTACTACTAAGGCATACAAAATTCAAGCTTCTCTACTTCAGAGTTTCAGCAGAGATGATTTTTCCAGCAGGGTCTTTATATTTACCTGATGATCCTCTGAGCAGCATACTGGTGAAGCGAGCGGAACTGTGCCGACATATTTGCTAAGGCTGCCAGACAATTTGTGTGAAGGTATTTGTCCTGTCAGAAAGAAGAGGAAAGATAAAAAAAAAACAACACATCAAAATGTTGGTTGGATATGCATTGACAACTCCGGCAGGAGTAATTCAGAAGACTGAGTAATATACGTTGTTTTTAAAGCACAGGAAGAAATGCAAAGCGTATATACTCAGTGAGGTTTGAACATGTTTTCTTAAAATATAAGGCTTATAAAAGAGTGATTCCATACAAATTTCAGAGTGTATACACACATATATGTATAGGTATGTTTGTATTTGTCTTTCAATGTTCATTTACAGTTGCACCACAGCTGTAACATATACACAAAGACATTTTCTTCCTCTCTACCTTTCTCTCTCTCCCTTTTGTAGTCTTATCCTAAAACTTCCTACTTCACAATTCTGAAGTAAGGTACAATCATAACTTACTTCAGAGCACTGGTCTCCATTTCAGCATCCCTGAAACCATTTGGCCAAATAAGCATTTATCTGATGGCCCTTTCAAAGTCAAGGGTTCTTGCAGAATGAAATTTGTCCACTTATCCAATCCAAAGGGGATTAATTTCCCTATTCAAGTCTAAAATATTCATTTACATAACATAACAGATTCTAAATACTCTGAATATATGCCAAATTTGTTCTTATTCCTTCCAATTCTTTTTATCATATAAGTAACACCCTTAATTTTTGCAGTTTAAAATGTATTTAAGGCTTAATGTAATAAATTCCATGCCTTGAATTGTTGAAAATATTCAGAAATGCATGATACTATGTTTGCATTTGCAAAAAAAAAATAAAAAACCTATTGTGCATTGAAAAATGCACAAAGTCAATCTAGGCTATAAGGCTCTGAAATTAAAGCAGTTTTGCTTTGCCAGAGCTCAAAGAGGTCCTCTGGCCTAGTCCCTGTCACACTTCCTAAAAAACTAACAGTAAATAGACCTGAAATTTCCTCTTTTAAGTCATTCAGAGAGGTAAATAGCCAATTAGGAATAACTTCTTCTCATGAAACTAAGGAACTCTTTCTTCTAAACTGAAGATGGGCTTGATGCCTGAATGAAGGTCTTTAGAGAACCATACCCAATGAACTGGAAGACAACACAGAAACTGTGTTAGAGGTTCACAAATACTTAGTTAACACAGCTGATCTATTTTCTTTCTTCCTGCAAAACAAGATGACAACTGGATGCAATAGAATTAATAAAATCCCACCCCCTGTTTGAAATTGAATTCAAGCTGCTGAGGTTAGGAATTCACAAGTGCTCAACACAACTCTTACCCTTGTCCGTGTCATGTTGTACTGGATGGTTCTTATCACAACCAGTATCAGAAGACTCCCAAGTGAGATCTCTGTTAGGACACGCTCAGCATACCAAGTAATGTTTTTCAGTATCTGCAAAAAGAAAAAGTTAAAAGAAAAAGGCTCTTCAGCACCTAGGTCTGAATAAGAACATAGGAAACTGTCTGGAGTCTCAAATTCCTTAAGACATGAAAATTAGTTTCCAGTCTCAAATGTTACTTAATTTTTGTACTCTAAAGCATAATTAGAACAAAATTAACAAAAAAAAAAAAGTCAGACCTCTGCAGCATTATCACCTAGTAGATGTCATCAACTCTAAGTCATATGGAAACACAGCAAGTGTAGAAAGATGATTACATTTCGCACTTTGCTAATTTCTATGCCCTGTGCCACCACACTTATATACTCATCTTTACCCCTGACACTTTATGAAGTCTCCATTTACACCCAAGACACCTGAATAATTCTGCCAAAGCCTTGCCATTTTCCCTCATCACTGGCTGGGCAAGAGGCAGCACACAGGAGCTCCGACCGATGGGCAACAGCACACACTGACGGTCGGGGGCAGATCAACTGTGTGTTGGCTTCACACTGAAGGCTTTCCCTTGAAAAGTATGAAGTCTCTTCCCCTAATACAAAGAGAAAGTCATCAGCTAGATTAAGAGCTTTGTGTCTTTCACTGCCCTCCACTATCAGGGTGGATGAAGTTAATCACCATTTCCAAGTTTATTGCAGAAGGAGAATCAATCCACTCTTTCCTTGTAGCCAGCCAACCTACATGGAGGAAACACATGTACCCAACACCCTGCCTTGAAGGACTGGTAAAAATGACTCAACAGGAACTGTCCTAAAAACATGGAAAAGATCCTCTATAAATTCAGGGTTATTCTCGGTCAAAACATAAATATGTTTAACAAGGACTACTGCACACAAAGCTATTGCCCTGTGTGACTTCAGAGAGAGGAGAGAGACTGCAGGACAGCTGCAGAGGGACTGGAGAGACAGCAGCCAGGCAATGGCTCCCAGTGCCAGAGGGCAGGCACAGATTTTGGGCTCTTGGGAATTGGGAATTGCTGGCTGGGAGGGTGGGCAGGCCCTGGCCCAGGGTGCCCAGAGCAGCTGGGGCTGCCCCTGGATCCCTGGAAATGTCCAAGGCCAGGTTGGATGGGCTTGGAGCACCCTGGGCTTGAGGAAGGTGTCCCTGCCCATGGCAGGGGTTGGAACCCTGAGATGAACTTTAAGGTCTCTTCCAACCCAAACCATTCTGTGAGTCTGAACCTCTGGAAGCTCTTTCAGAGTACAAGAGACATTTGAAATAGCATCCTTATTATGATTCATGTTTATTGGTAAGCTTAAAGTTTGAGATATAAAAATAATTTTTTATTATATATGAAGAGACAAAATAAAATTCAGATACTTGAAACAAATTTTAAAATAATTTTTTAAAAGCATCTCCACTATCACATGTGCCCAGTACCTGGCTCTTTGTCAGCACCTTCCAATTTCCCACAAGGAAGATAAAATGAAGCCAGTGACCATAACCTATAGATGGGGAAAACACTATTTTATGGCAAGGGTGACAAAACATCCCCAGGTACTGGCTGAGGTGTAGTAAACACCTTTTGCTAAAAAGATCAAAAAAATCAGAATAAGGGGAAGATGGAAAGACTTGAGAGATATTTAAGGGGAGAATGGTCAAGGCAGAGAAACAAATAGGAAACCTGAAATCACTACAAGAAAGGTTTCCACAAATAGCAGATGATGAGTGGATGCGGAAACCAATATAATTTCGGGTTATAGAAAGTTACTAATACTATTTTAAGACAAAGTGGTGATGGTATAAATGAAAACAAGTAATCCAAGGAGTTTAAGTAAACAAGGACAACTAGTTGGAATGAACAACATTGATGATTAACAGGAAATGCCTGAAAGACAAAGCAAAATCCACACATATTTTCACAAAAAAAGGCAACTGAAAATTTTAAAAGCTGTTAGTGTAAGTAATTAATGAATCACATGTACGAACTTCACTGCAAGAAGATATTCTGCTAGTGGAGAACTTGATCATCCCAAGGCTGCTAAGCATAAACATATGGTAAGATACAGCAAGTTCATGGGTTACTTCACAAATGCAAAATGCTAACGTAAGTGTAGACATCCATCCTGGTTGCCTTAATTATAATTTCTTAATAACAGCTTATTTATGACTATGTGAATATACCTGTTCTCAAGAGAAGATTTTATATAAAGAAATAAATTAACCACTTTGACAAGTATCTCAAGCAAATATCTCAAGCTCAAATATCTGAAGCTCAGCACTGAAACCTTCCAGAAGAAAAACATATTGTTATATGAAGAATACAGTATATGATCATTAAATAATGGTTACTCTCAGTAATACATAAATATAACAGGGATAAGTTGTGGTTGCACATTTAATTTCCTGACTTTTAAATGCTTATTGAAAATGTAACAGACCTTTTAAAAAATACAGCAATGAAAATGGGTAGTATAAAATACTATTTGTTTTGACATGACACACAATGTAAATTGAAACCAATAGTACATAAAGGGATGTATTTCCTGATGATTATTGAAGAACTAATTTCACTCAATTTGCTCTGAAATGATACCCAAGAGTTTAGGTTCGGTTTTTTTCCCCCCTCTTAGACAAAATACACTTATTCTGGCCAAAAAAACATCAACTTAACTGATTAAATTTCTAATAAGTTAATTTTTCTAGTCTCTGATTTATGAGTGAAATAGCAAAGCAACCTCCTCCCACATATAAATAATCCTTATGTTTCCTCCCACCCTCTTTGTTGCTATTTTGTGGGGCATATCCCTGCACTTCACCAACCAAAGTGGAAGTTCATGATTCACTCTATGCTGGAACTGAGAGCAGATTCCATCATGAGCTCTCTCCCACAGTGGGTCCCAGTGGGATAAGAGGAATGTGACTGGGACAAGTTAAGTAGTCTCAAGCAGTACCTTGGGCCCTCCAACATCTCCAGACACATCTTTCTCATCCACCATGGGTCTCTGTTGTATATAGAAGCCATCATCCTTCCTGTTTTCCCTCCCTGTAGCTTATTCCTGCCTCCTTGCCCTCCCAGACCCCATTCCTTCTCAGCTCTTTCTTTTATCTGCTTCCACTCCCCCACCCACACCTTATCATCAGAGAACCATGGAATGCTTTGTGCTAGAAAGAACTTTACAGCTCAACCGACCTTCCACTATCCCAGGGTGCTCCAAGCCCTTTCCAACCTGGCCTTGGACACTTCCAGGGATTCAGGGGCAGCCACAGCTGCTCTGGGCAACTGAAGCCAGGGCCTCACCACCTTCACAGGGAAAAATTTCTTCCCAATATCCCATCTAATCCTGTCTTCTCCTTTGTCCTACCCTGTACATCCCAGTCTGTCATCAAAAAGAAGCCTGACTTCACCTTCCTCAGCTTTTTGTCACTGTTCCTGTCCTGCCTCTTTATTCATCTCTCTTCTCAGCATCTCAAAATCTTACCTACTACTTGTTTAACTCTTGTCTCTCTCCCCTACTGCACCATCCCATGTTCCATGCACAGCCAGTCCCAGCCTGTTTCAAATTTCTCCCAAGGGTTGTCACATCAGGGCTCCCATTCTTACACATTTTCCTCAACATGTGGAGATGGGATTTGGGGACTTGAGTTATTGGTGGCCTTGGCAGTGCTGGGGGAATGTTTGGACTCGATGGCCTTGCAGGGCTTTTCCAAGCCAAAGGGTTCTGTGTAGTTTCAAACCCTGCCAAGCAGCAGCAGAAACATCCCTGGGAGCACAGTCCTGTCCCATGAGAGCTGGGAGCTGCACTTGCACAAGCTGCAGCTCATCCCTGCTTATCTCAGCTGATAACGTGATCCCTGGGCACGGGAGGATGCACACAGCCCAGATGGCTCTGGGAGCAGCAAAATGAGAATATTCAGTTTCCACAGACGTCAGGCCACCTCCGGCTGCGTCCCTGCTGCGCAGATGGAAACAGGCTGCTCCCTGTGCCCAGAGACTGATAATTTGGTCACATTTAGTCATATTATCAGCAGCAGAGCCCTGGCACAAAGGCCACCTGCCAAATTTCAGATTCCTAATGCAAAACATGAAGTTACCAGGGCTCATTAAGTAACGTGTTGAAAGCTGAAAGTACGGACAAAGACATGTTAATGCTCCAGTCTCGCCCCAGAAACCTTCAGTGAAACCTTCCCTAAAACTCTGAAAACACCAACCTGGGAAAAAAGATAGTTACTGAGATAACTAGTCCTTGAAATAGTACTCTTAAAAAATATATATAAATTCACAGTTATGAAGCTACATACCAGAACCTGTTAGCTCTCATCTACACTGGGGAAAGCAACCTGAGCTGAAATGGCTATTTCAAAAACAACAGGAGCAACCACCACCATCCATTCTGGGTTTTAGAGGCATGAAGCATGAAAATGTCTTAAATTTCAAAATCCTTTACCTGGAACCAGTGCCCCCACGCTGACCAATCTCATTGGTTTTCAAGTTAACAGTTAAAAAGGTAAGAAAAGAAAAAGCTTACTCCCTGGGGTTGTCTTGCAAGAATAATTTTAAAATAAATTAAAATGTTTTGATTGATTATTCTTTTGAATACCAGGCTCTTGGATAGTTCCAGCTTAGGGAGCACGAACTGCAAAGATGCAAAGAGCAGGAGCTCAGTTCTACATATACCAAGCAGTGAGATTCTCAGTTTCCCACAACTTTACTCATGAGATATTTTTTAACACACTAAAAATAAACACAGTTAAATCGTGATTTACAGTGTATCACCATTTACTACAGCATAAAGTGCTACAGTAGCACAATAAGGTTACTGCTACATAAAATACCTTATGATGTTATTTTGATGTCTGATGTAATTATATTTAGAATTTCATAAATCAGAGACAAAAGATCACCAATACTTGTCCCTCTGGGGAATTCTTACATTTACTTGTTTACTCTGCTATTATAATTATTGTTATTATTAGTGAAAGAAATTGAGTTCTGTGTGGTTACAGTGACCCCACTGCATTAAACCAATTGCAGGGACAGGACCTATGATTTGGATCATATTTTCCAGGCAGTTAAGACCACATTCATTTTAAATAAAAAATGCTTCAGCATCCTACAGCAGTCAAAAAGAGTTTCTGTGGTTTCCTGAGCTCCTTACCAGTTGGTATAATCACCAGATTTATAAAACTTTGCTCACTAAAATTAATCCTAAAAATCAATAAATAAATGTGGGTTAAATGCCACAAAGGAAAATAGCCCATAAATGAACTGCACAGTCATGGTTCTTATAAGAACAGTACACAGGATACACAGCAGAGAGAAAAACAGGTTGATCTAAAATACAGCACATCTTTTTTTCTTCATCTTTTACCCAGGTAAAAAAAGATGGAGGGAATAAAAAAAATTCTGCTGTAACTGCTAAAATCTGGTATGTACTTGCATGAATGAGGTTTATGAAACTGATGCTAGATGCTTACATTTTACAGAAAAGCCTACACAGATTTTCTGACTCCCATCATTTTGCAGACCTATAATACCCTCTTAGGCTTTAGGATATGTGGAGTCAATATCTAAGCAAGTATGAGACTAATTTCATACTTAACATTAGAGTTTTTGAACAGTAACTTGCTCATTCATACCTGAAAACACCAACTTAATTAACTCAAAGACATGGGTGAGGGGAATGCATTTGTAAGTATGACTTTGAAACTATTTTTCCCTTACACTTATTTCCCTCCTTGGGATCTGTAGGAATGTGTAGGAGAAGCTCACACACACAGGCCTGCAGCACCTCCCAGCCACCTCTCATTATCCACCTAAGAACCAAATCCAGCAAAACTCTGGACACACAGCACTATTAACAAATGGAACCAGGCACTACGGAGCAGGAAAACACAACCACTGAGGAAAAGAAGCAGTTATTGAACGTCTGAAGTAAAATCAAAAAAACTGTGGAGAAAATGGCAGAAGCAAAGTCATGACTGCAAAAAGATCAGTGCAGGGTTAAAGGAACAAGGTGGGGTTTGTGTTTTTATTAAGATACAAGTAGTAAACCAATATCCACATTGCAAGCGAACACTACAACTCTGCTGGCATGGTTAGCTGAAAGGCAGGATAAACCGGACAAGAAAACTTGATTTATGTTTTCATTCCACAGCAGGATTCTCATTAAGGAATTTTAGGGAAATCTTCCACTTTTACTCATCCAGTAAGGAATTTATTGAAAGACTTATTGAATTTATTTATTGTGTAAAGCCTCTAAAATGAACAAAGAGCGATAGGAGAAGAGACTGAGGCAGAAATGACACTTTGACTGCTAAATTCCAACTTTACACAAGCCCAGTTTAAGAGAGAGGATAAATGGCTCTGTGACACAAAGCCTAAAAATACACATCACACATACACCTCTGGTGCACATGTACAGGTTCAAGGCACACAAAGTTGAAGGCAGGAAAAAGCTTCAAGAAAATATTTCAGTCATCTGTATGGTCACTATAGGTGCTCCTAAAAGCTGCTTCCAAAAATGTATTCCCAGGAAACTGCATTAAAATCATCTCTTCCTGCTCTCTACACACAAGCTATACTAAATAATATGACATTTCAGAGAAAAAATACTGTAAGTCTGGAAATTCACCTGGGAGAGAGTTCTGTTTAGGAACCTTGAAACTTGCTTTCAGCATTTTGCATTTCAACAATTTCTCAAAGATAATAATTCACAAAGATAATAATTTCCCCCAAAGAAAATTTCTGTTTCCCAGTCAAAAAATTAAATTAAATCAGTGCAAATATCTCATGTAGTATCATAACTTTAGAAGCTGGGAAACTAGGACATAATTGTCCAAGGTATTCTCCTGCACAGATGGTCAAGGTCCATCAAAGCTAGTAAAAATTTGGCTGCTGCTATATTGACAACATAAAATAGAAATTAATCTAACAGAGAGACAGAAAAAGAAGTGCCAAGTAAGGAAGTAACATTTAGTATGGAAAATACAACTCCAGCTAAAGGCTGCATCACACTAGTTAAGCAAAGTTTTTCAAGAGAAATAAAAAATAAAAAAAATGTTTCCTGTTTTTTTTCCTCTTCTAGGCCCTCCACTTCCATGGCAAACATTCAGCACCTTTGAGGCAGCCTGCCCAGCTATTACTAGGCTAATTTGTAACAGGGAACACCAAAAGAGACAGAGAAAGAGATATTTGCAGCAGTTTCTCTACAGGAGGGTGTGTGTTTGTTCATTTCACTTGGGAAAAGTTTTGAAAGCAGTCTTCAGGTTCCTTCTTCTTACAAAAGAAAGATGTGTATGCCATCAAATTTGGATGAACTCATACAGCCTCTGCTGAGGGAACAGATTTGCCGATGTATCTTCTTAGCAGTAAATATTTAGATTATTTTTAGAGCCGAAGGATTATTTACCAAAACAGCAACTCACCACTTCATGAATGGATCGGTTGAAGCCATCATCCTCTGTGAGGATCAGCAAAATGATAAGGGCCATGTAAACATGGTGTGAATTCCTTTCTTCAACGTGATACAGGATTTCAAGAATTGGCAGAACCTTTAAGGAAGGAAAAAGGGGTATCAGTTTAGTCTTCAAATACCTCAGACACTAAACAGAGGAGGCTCTAAAGGTCCCACGTATTTCCCTGCCCTTGGCAATTCTTACCAACTCCTCCCTCTGGAAACAACCGCCCCTGACCAGCGATATACAGTGTCCAAACACCTTTCATCTGCTTCATTCTGTCACACAAGAGAGTCTAAACAAGTGTTTTCTTGTGGTCAGAAATGGAATTTCAATCCCTAGTAAATGAGATTCCCAGCCATAGCAGTTATCATAACCTCCAAATGCTTCAGTCCTCCCCTCTACACTACAGGGAGAAGAGAATTGTTAGACAAGATTTTCACCAGTCCAAGCAGGAAAACAGTTGTGTCTATCCATCTGTGCTACCACAAGCCTGCTCTGAAAAGCCTTTCCTCCTCAAACCTAGCCAAGTACATCAAAGCTGAGGTGATCAGAGGCATTTTGAGACATGGAAGATAAACTCCATTTTAGTGTGTGAAGATAATACCAGAAAAAAAAAACAGTTTGGGTTTGATTAAGACTAGAAGAGGCCTGTTTTTCCAATTTTAGATAATATGCAGCCAAAGAGAACTGACTGATCATTATGATTAGAGTTCAGCCCAAGGTCTTGCAACATTTCCACCAGGATGAACAGCTTAAGCCAAAGCCTTGCAATAATAATGAAAATGAGATTTCATTGCAACAGCAAGCATACCTGAATGCTAGTCTAAAGTTAATCCAGATGCAAACATTGTCTCTCTACCAAATGAAAATTAGCTTTCTACTGGCTCAGTACAACGTGGCTTCCCTGGGCTGCAGAAATAGGCCGAAATCACAAAAAGCCCTGGAAAAAGGAACTGGAGAAAGCCCTCAGTTCCAAGAAGCTTCTAGACACCTAAAAATTTGCTGTTTTTCAAAACAGGCCAAAGGCAGCTGGATGAATCATGTGAAACCTATTCTGGTGAGCAGCCAGGACACCAAGTGCTTCACAAACCTCTGAAGTTACCAAAATGTTCTCTTACAGTCAACCATCCTCGAAGCAGTTGGGACATACTAAACCAGTTTTTATTAGGATGAAATGAGAGTGCTCTGAATACTGCAGGCCACAAAACTTTTTGACACATGCTTTGGTCAGGGTCAAGAGAAGATGACAACAGAAGCTGAAGGACAATATGCTTACAGTAACATCTTTATTAATATTAAATCAATACTAAAATAAAATATTTTTGTAAAATTACATGTTGCAAACATCCTTCCCTTGCTGTTTCAAAGGATCCTTCAGAAACCTCTCTCCCCAGCGGAAACTAGAGTACCATCTTTGTGTTTTCTGAATATCAGTCTTGAGTAAAGACCAGGTTTTCCCTAAAACTTCCAATTAGCACATAGACAAAAAATATTGTCTTTTTTGTTGGATGGGGAGAGAGAGAGACAAACATCACTGTATTGGTCCACCATTCAAATTGTTTCCATCTCCAACACTTGCATGTAGCTTTGCACTGTAAAAGTTCTGTCATTTCTAAGTCCAAGAGTTATTACAATGAGCTGGAAGCAACATAAAACTAATGAAGAATTGCATTTACAACTTTGCAGGGAGAACAACAAAAGCCTTGCTGAAGGTAACCATTGGAACAACTTAGTTTTCCAGACAGATCCCAGATGGAAGCACAGGATGGTTTGAGTTGGAAGGGACCTTCAAAGATAATTGTGACTCAGTCTGGTTGTGTCAAACCATACAAACCACTCTGGCAAAACATACTCCTTCAGAACAGCTCAAAATATCTCTTCTGTCTACACATATTAGTACTAATTGTAACTGAAAAAGTCCATTCATGTTCTCAAGTGCTCCAAGTCCTACAAGTGTGTGGCTACAAACTACATTTAAAAATACATGATACTGAGACATTGCAGCCATTCCCCTACAAGCCAATATGTGAAAGTGCTGTTACTAAAGCTCCATACTTGCTACTGAAGAGTAGTCTGCCACTCCAGATCATGGCAATCAGTCCTCCTGCCCCAGAAAAACCTCTGCTGCTTCCAAAACCTCCACTCCTTTGGCCACGTTTCCCTTTCCACTCCTCTTTCAGGCTCTGCGCCATCTACACACTGGACAAGACTCAGGGAGGCATATGGCAACTTAATTCTCTCCTATGTGCCATTTCTGGATGGAACCAGAATCAATTTGTACACTTTTCATAATTCTTCCTCCTTACAACATTTCCTCCTTTGTATATTGATTCCTGAGGTGCACACACATCTTTAGGACAAGTATTACTGTTCTCAAAACAAAAACTAGTTAACAAGCCACCATTTCTATAAAAAAGTTACAATAAAGATTCAATTAAAGTTCTAATCATATGAAAATGTAAAATTTGAAATACTCTGGGGGAGAGGAGTCTTGTGAGGAGCCTTGGGTGGAACCTGGAGGAGACAGTTTTATTCAAAAGAGGAAGACTTTTAGGTAGTTTCCTTGAAGAAGTTTGGGGCTGAAACCTGGGTCTCAGGTCTCTAGAAGAATTCAAAGAACCCTGAGAGATGCCTGGAAGGAGTCCAGGAGGATTCTGGGAGAGACAGATTCCTCCGAAAGAGAAGAATCCTCTCAGTTAATATTTTAATTATATTAAAATTTATCTAGACTTTCAACCAAAATACATTTCTATACTTCTATGCTGCATACATAGATTAAAACTTTTATACCTATCTTCTTACACAATGGTTTTATCTAATCCTATACTGAGAAGAGAGCCACCACTTCTTTTGTACTGCTGACCCTTTTCTCACAACCATCACACCACCTCTACTGCACCACTACTAACACTCCTCCCTCAGGAGCAGCTTTTAACTGGCAAGAAATAGCCACCATTAAAAAGTTACTTTTAATCCCTAAAACAAGTGGCAGGTAAAAACAGAGACTGGAAATTGCAGGTGCTATATCCAGTCCAAGGTTGGTTTCCCCAGTAAAGTTTAAAAATAGATTGTCTTTAGTACTCAACAAAATACAAGCAGCAACCTGCTTAAGACAAATTTATACTACAGGGAAAAATATTGCTGTAGCATCAGCTGATATAAATACATATCATGGATGTTATTTCATTCCAATGATGTTGAACAGCAAGTATTCAAACAAACAACAAAATCTCAACTCAGCAGCCAAAGAAAACACATCGAATAGCTCATTTCTTTCTCATGCAGAAATCTAACTGGTATATTTACTTGCAACACTGGTGCTAACTGCTCTTTCAAACAGAAGAAGGCTTGACAGACTCCCATCCACAGACCAGAACACTATGCTTGTCAAAAAATGTGCTAACTGCCCTCTGCTTCAGCTGTCTCACCACTTTCTGGAGGATCCCTGCACGCACTTTGAAAAGGACAGCCCAATACTAGATGTAAACTTCTCTAACATCAGATATTTAATCAGTTATTTTAAAAAATGAAGTAAAGATGGACACACAAAGATCCTAATCATTTTGCCAAGCAGAATTATGTTAAGAGCAAAAAAAGGTTCTTTATTAACAATAAAACACAAAGTCCAACAGAAGGTGAAGGTATTTAGCTGTAACTGGCAGAGGGAGAATCATACAAATGAGGAAGTGAGCTGAGACAGTATCTGTTATACCAGCTAAGAAAAACTTTTAATTTAAAAGTTACACTAAAGTTGAAAAAGAGCAGAGACACATTTCAGAAAATCCTTATGAAATGTTACAGAGCACCTTCTGGTGATGCTTCCTGGGCACAGAAAGGGAGACAAAACAGGGGAAAACACAACATATGGGATGCACTGAGTGCAGTGAAATAGGAAGAACCTGCAAAACCCCCTAAAGTTTAGGATGAACTCTGAGCTGCCTGTGGACGTGACCTCTCACACAGCACCTATATAGCATTCATCCAACTGCCTCTGCACGAAGAGGCCACTGATTTACACCACATGCCTCTAAAAAGTCCTCCACCCTCATTCAAAGATCATTTTGACTCTGGATTAATGACCTTACAGTTTTTCTCCCATATCTCCACATAGTGGGAATCAAACCTCCAGGCTTCAATTCTTACCATCCCTCTCTGCAAGCAGAGATTCCTGCTTTTTGAAGGATTCCCCTTTATGAAGGCACATACACATCCTGAGGCTCCCCAAGCTCTTCTCTGACCAGCTAGAGTTAGCTTCCCAGGCCTCTCACAGTGTTACTGCTCACTTTAAAGCAAAAAAAAAAAAACTTCCATGTTTCTCAACAGGGATCCGTTTTTCAATAGTTTGTAATTATTTTTAGTTACAGACTATTGGAAGTACAGTCTGGAAGTACAACAACAGAATAGTACACAGTGTATCAGCACCACACTTGCCACACAGGGAAGCCAGCTCCAGTACTCAAGTCCCTTTATTTCAATATCAAGTCTAAGACTGAATTACCCTTCTTCACCCAGGACTGCAGTTAGGACGTCATGATTTCTTCATCCACTAGCCCTCCCAGCCCTCCCAGTTCTTTTTGGGTCTGGCTCAGCCTGCCTTACTGAGCAATTAAAACTGCTCTTCTCAGCTGGTTGCTGCTTATCCTTATCTACTGGCCCAATAAAAACAAGAGGATTGGACAAAGATGTCAGTAACTTGTCAGTAGAGATCACAAAGAAGCAGCATGAAGAGCAAAATAAGAGAAGTTTCAAATGTTGGTATTGAAAAAAAAATCAAAATACCCACAAAAGCATACTGTTGACTTTTCAGTGATGCTTTTCTAATTTTTCCAGCTTTTCCCAAGAAGTGTTTAAAGTTGTTGATAATTTCTGGGATTTTCTGACTTTTTTTTTTTTTAAGTGATAATATATGAAAATATCCTGCACTGCAGAGTACCTGAGTACCAGCATATTGACTTGTTTTGACAGATGTACCACACTCTTTTTCTGGAAGCTTTACAGTGTATCAGACACCATAATTATAAAACAATGCACACACTTGTCTAGAGCAACCTGGGATAGTGGAAGGCATCGCTCCACGTGCAAGGGGCTGGAACAAGATGGGCTTTAAGGTCCCTTCCAACCCAAACCATTCTAGTATATGCTGTTGTCTAAAGATACACCAAATTGTTATGGTTAGCAGCTGTTAACTTGTTATATCACACACTAGCAGCCCCAAAAATTATACGTGGCCATTTGTTCACAGAATTCATGCGAAATGACTCAGCCCTTGCCTACATAATCTGCCGTGGACACAGGAGCTCAGTCTTGAATCAATTCAGCATCAACCATCTCATCCCAGTTTGCCAACAGTGGCGTCTATCAACTCCGATTTTAGCAATACATCTGCTAGGACTTGGACTGAAACCAAACTCACTCCATATCTGCCATCAAACAGGCAAGGGATCTAATTACCTGGCAAGATTTCAAATCTTAAAATGGAAAGGGTCCTCTATTCTGTTACCAATTCCCCTAGACAGCCATTATCTTATTAAAGGAATGCTTTTTAATAAGTAAGATTTGTTAAAGTGGTTTGTGACATTACTAAAGTGGGGAGCATAAGCTAATTTATAACCTACAAAACCATACCAGGTGTCTGTTATATTGGCCATTAACCACAATCCTATTTAAGCAGCTAAAAGGCACTACAGTTGTATTTCTATAAAATCTGTGAGCTGCTCCTTGAGGAGTTTCAGTCTTAGGTCAACCCTGTAAGACATTTGGCATGTTAGTCCAGTCACAGCTCATTTTGTTAACTATTACTCCTGAAAGCACAGAGACAGCTTGTGTAACTTTTTGGCCTGAATATCCAAAAGCGATAAATAAAACTATGAATGGAATGATATCTGCTACCAGTTTCTCTACACAATGATCAGAAGTGGGCAGGTTTGACCTAAGTCATGATAGTGGCACAGAGAAAGAGGGAATCCAAGATGGTCTTGCAGTACCACCCTTGGCTGCGGTGACACGCTCAGCAGCACACTCTTGAGATGATGCAACAAAAATGCATAAGTGAGCTAGAACTGGCAAATGAGTGATCCAGAACCTATTGCTCCCACTGCAGAACAGAGGCCACTGGCAGCTGGTGACACCCAAGCTTGCATGGCCAATCCCTCGTAAGGAGAATAAAGGAGGCAGAGCAAGACTCACCAGATTCTCTATGTCTGTCCGTGCCAACACGTAGGTGCGCACATTGCTGTTCTGATGCAGAAGCATGTATAGGAGAAGAGTGGCTTGATCAGATTTCTGCTGATCACATAAAGCTGTGTATAAACTGTTAAAGTTGATCTGGAAAGCGTGTGGATTTGATGACGAAAAAGCAGTGTTATCTGAAATAAAGAAATAAAATAAAATCTTTAACAAATACATTCATCATTCAGTTATTTGTTAATTTTACAAAATCTCTGGGGGAAATATTTAATACACCACAGAAAGGAGGAAACAAAAATCACCCATAATTCTTATTACCAATGGTCATAAACCATAATAGAGTCTTGTAAAGCTTCAGTTTTGCCAAAAAGCTGAGGTTGTCCTCCCATATGTGCTTCAGTAAGACCCCAGTACCTGCACAGAACATTCACATTTTTTCATAAAACAATTTTGTCCCTCTATATGACTTCCACTGCTAAGAAGGAATGTGATCCCAGGAGCTGCTGGAATGGAGGCAGACACAAGGTCTTCTCTGGAAACAGTATACCAATGATTATCTTCCAAACCCTGCACATCAAACTTACAGGTTTAGTTCTCTGGCATTAAGGCAGAGTCTCTCCCATCCATCCCTCTCTTGGTATAAAGGGTGGATGTGCATTGGTCAAGATTACTGTGATATCTCAGTGAAATGTAGGTGTCAGGACTTAAGAGGTGTGTGGTGGAGAGTTTGGCGAGTTAAGTGATGTAAAACGTCCCATCACATTGTCTGACATCCCTCAAAGTAACAGCAGTTTGTTCATAATCACAACACACTCTGTGCCAGTGCTGGAAGTGAAAATAAAACAGATTTCTGTTCACAGAACCTTTACCAGCCTCAACAAAAACGTCCATCTGCACAGATCCCTAAGGTCTAGAAATTCCCTGTGGAAACAGAGAAAGCTAGTACTTACAGGGGGCTATTGAAGAAGATGGAGAGTAAGACAATTTTTATATGGGCAAATAGCCATAGGATGAGGGGGAAGGGTTTTAAACTGAAAGAGAAGACATTTAGATGAGAGATCAGGAAGAAATTCTTCCCTGTGAGGTTGATGAGGCCCTGGCACAGGTTTCCCAGAGGACCTGTGGCTGTCCCTGGATCCCTGGAAGTGTCCAAGGCCAGGTTGGACAGGCTTGGAGCAAGCTGGGATAGTGGAAGGTGTCCATGCTCAAGGCAAGAGAGTTGAAACTGGGTGATCTTGAAGGTCCCTTCCAACTCAAACCACACTGTGGTTCTATGATTTTAAGACCATATTCCTATTGAAGTTTGCTAAGTAGCTTTCAACACAGAAGAGCATGGCAGTTGTCATGTATTTTGAACAACATTTCCACCCACTTTGGATGGAAAAAAGTGCTTGGAATTGCTGCAGGAGCCCTGCAGGAGCCCTGGCTGCCATTGATTTTGTGGGGCCCAGCAGACAGCGTGCTGGGGAGCCATCACTCCTCTTGGCCAGGGCAAGGGGGGACAGCTCCAGCCATTGAGCTGGAGGCAGCAGGAGGCCCTGGAGCAAACAGAACTCCTGCCTGCAGGAGCTGGGAACCACGCGGAGACACAGCCCCACGGCAATGGAAACCCTGCCTGTCCCAAAACCACGCACCCGCAGGCGCCGGAGAAAGGCCAACCTGGGCCTTCCTCAACTGCTGACCATGACTATGGACCAGCTGGATTAAAACCTTCCTGCTTTGGGCAGGAATTGCCCTTCAGGAGGAAAAACATGGATGTAGACAGCAAAACCAGAACAATTCAGTCCTTGGTGCCACAGGTCATTAGCTGAGACGCTCCCCTTGGCTTTGCAGCTTCACTTCTGTGAAGGTTTAAGCTGTGCCACTGGGATTTATAGCATTTCACTATCAGTTTTATTAAAGGATACTAAAAAGTCCAGTAAAATAAAATTCTAAGCAGAATAAAATAAACTTACCAGCAACACTAGCATATCCTGTATTATTCTGCAGAACATTAAGCTGATCAACAGAAAAATTAAACTATTCTAAACCATGAACAAAAAAACCCCATCCTGAATTCTTCTAGTTTTGTCCCAATTAAATTATAGAAATTATTTTTTTAAAAATGCCAATTTTCCTTTTATAGTATATATTATTACTGCAACTAGCTTCTTTTTTTCCACATTACTTTCCTCTTACAAACCCCTTAGAATGTTCACAGAAATCAAATTTAAGCCCAATTATGAGTATTGCTAGTGGGAACAAGTTTCTGGGAAACAATAAGTCATTCCATCAACACACACATGTAGAGAAAATATAGCTTTTCATGCTACATTTGACACAAAATAAGTTAATTCAAAATTTTATAATGATGTATGTATAGCGTGCTTTAATGAAATACATTACTGGCTACTGGTGGCATGAAACAAAGTCAACCAAAATGCAACATTAAAGAAAGCTTGCAGTTTAAAGACAGAACAAAACAAAAGCTTTATCAACAATTTGATCTCAACCACCTGTAAATGGTATCCAATAAATCAAAGAAGCATGTTAGGACTCAGAATTCTTCTTATGAGAACAATCCTCCACCTTCACAACCCAATAAATTTTCATAGGTAATGGTGAATTAATTTAGAGCTCAACCTGGTTAAAACTTAATGGACAAAGGAATACAAAAACTCCCCAGAAGAAAGTGCATAACTCAGGATATTACTGTGGCTTCACAGGTTGTCACACAGCTACTGAGCCCTGTGCACAGTGCCAACCTGCACAAAGCCAATGAAAGGTAAAACCACATGGCTCAGGTTCAGAGATTTAAGTGTGGATAAAGTACACATGGAAAACGGTGGAGTCCCCATCCCTGCAGAGATTTAAAAGCCATGTGGATGTGGCACATGGGGACAAGGGGTAATGGTGGCCTTGGTGGGGAATGGTTGGACTTGGAGGGCATTTCCAACCTAAATGATCCTGTGCTTCTGTGAAAGGCACAGGCTGCATACTGAGCTATCTAGATAGCACAAGCTGTGTTAGGGCATTCCCATGTTCAAATACGACCCTCTGTGAGTCAGTGCACATGGCACCTGCAGTTATCTGACACACAGACTGGATCCTGCCTTCTCAAAACCCAGACAAGGACCAAAACAACTCTGAAATCTCCCATACATACAAAACTCATGGAAGGGTTTATGTTAAACATTTTTTCTTACATTTGAAATAAAAGAATACAGTCAGCAAACCCAGGCAGCAACTTAATTATTTACCGTCTCTCTAAGGACCATGACTCCAGGACAAAAAGTGCTACAAACTTTTAGGGGACTCCTGCAGACTCTTGGATAATCAATCTACTTATAGGTTAGTTTTATGTATATTTCATGAAAGTATAGAGTCACAGAATCATCAAGGTCAGTAGAAATCTTCAAAAACTTCCAGTCCAGGAAGTAAACTGGACCAGGACTATGAAGCTTTCTCGTATTTCTCAAGTCAGAAGAATGAAGTCACCTCCTTCTGCCCCCACCACAAAGTCCCAACAGCTGAGGAACTCCACCTCAAAACTCCCTGATAAAAATGTGTTATTACTGCTCTTCCATGGGTGTGCTGGAAGGACAACAAATCTTGGAAAGAGAAGCTCTTAAGCAATCACAGCATCTTAAAACTCCACTTCATCAGCTCAGGCTCAGAAGTAAGAACAGATACAAACCTTGTGTGTTCTTGAAGGACATGATGGCTTGTCTGTAGGGGTTTGGGGTGTCTGGAGTGTCAGTCAGGTTGGCCAGGACCAGCAGCAGCAGCAGGCTCTGGCTGGCCAGAGGGGAGCACTGCTCCAGCTGTGCCGATGCTTTGCTGCCCACTCCACCCAGTGTGAACACTGTCCACAGGCCAGCTGCAGAGAAAACAACAAATAACAGGTTTCGTCATATTTTAATAAACAAGGCTATTTTAGAGTGTAAGTTTAGATTAGATATTGGAACAAAATCCTTCCCTGTGAGGGTGGGGAGCCTCTGGCACAGGTTTCCAAGAGTGGCTGTGGCTCCCCTATCCCTGGGAGCATCCCAGGCCAGGTTGGATGGGGCTTGGAGCAACCTGGGACAGTGGGAGGTGTCCCTGCCCATGGCAGGAGGTGGCACTGGATGAGCTTTAAGGTCCCTCCAGTCAAACCATTCTCTGATTCCACAATTGTACATTGTGCATGTACAGCTCCAGTAGTAAGGCATAATGTACAAAGCCAATGTAATGTCCCCAGAGGCTGCTTGAAAAAACTCTCACTATCACATTCCTTAAACTTTGATGATTGAATGCAGAGTCATTTTCACAGCAGCAAAAGAATTAACTCCAATACAAAACTACAGCATTTGAAATTCCTGTCCCTAATTACAGCAGCGTTGGTGAAACCAAATCACCAGCTACATGCCCAAATACTGATTAGAGGAGAAAGAGCATCAGAGGAGGACTAAAGGACTCCCCTCATCCCTCTCCAGCAAGTCCATTAGTCCTCATACCCTTGCCACTCCTCATGGCAGTGTATTACAGAACTGGAAAAAACTAAGAAAAGCACTAGAACTGAAACAGAGATGCTGCAGACTCAGCATTATTGGAGTACAAAGTCAGAAGAAAGGATAAAACCTCTATGTTTATCACAACTGGGCTCTTGATACATTCATTCCAAGGAAATAAGAAGCAGCCCCTCCCAATGACACAGTATCAGATTCACCTCAAATGCCTGCCTAGCAGTTAATTTTTTTGAGTGTATCTTGAAATTTTATTACAGAGACTAAGCATTTAATCAAATTTAACAGGTCAAAGCTTTGAGTTATAGAGGTTAAAAAATATTAAGTTTTACTTAAAAAAGGTAAATCCTTATTTCCTCTTTTAATTAATGCCTAAATCAAAAATTAAATACAATACAACTTCTTAAAGAAAACAGAAAAATTAAGAAAGTTTAATTTCCAGTCTTCTAGTCATCAAGATTCAAGGTGTAAATGATAAAACTTCTAAGCCATTTGAATGCAAAATACTAAAGTATAACCAGTTAAAAGAATTTCAAGCACTCTTAGCCCTACAAGATTTCAAGCCTTCCAATAAGTATTTTTCTTCAAATGTAATTATACAGTCAGATTATGTAACAAACCAGTGCTCCCTCATTAGGACAATTGCAGGACAATTACTGCCATGTCATAGGCAAGGGGACTAATGCCACTCAGTGTTAAGCAGCTTGAGAGAGTTCTTATAATAAAAACTACTGTAATTGCAGCCTTCTTAGCAAAAATTTCATGTTACATTAGTAATCCTTTATCACCATGTTTTTCACCCACAGTTTTTATCAGAATGAATGATGTTGACCATGAAGTTTTTCATGTGGGTTAACCAGAGAGGTAACATGCAAAGAAACTATTTTAAAAACCCTGAAACAACTGCAAATTTATCATCACATGTTAAAGAAACTAAAATTCATCAGATTTCCATTCTTAAATTTTAGTGGTTTTGATTTTTTCCCACCCCATCCTTCTGTGGCTGCCATCTGCCATTACATCTTTCCTCAATAGTTAGAAAAAGAGGGATATGGCCAAAACACCAGTGATTAATTTGCATCTTCCACCAGGGAGAACAAGGTCAAGATGTCCAAGAGACATCTGCACATGAATATGTGGCCCAAGTAACCTCCTGAAGCTCTCTTGTGTGTTGGCAAGTCCTCCAGAAAACCAATCCCATGTTACAGGTTCATAACATTCCTTTCAGTTGCAAGGGCAGCATCACATTAGGTGCTAAGTATCAGCTGATGCTTCCAACACACTCAAGTTAAAAATATTTTAAAGTAAAATATTATTTCTGATCATAAACATCACATTAAAATGCTAAACAAGTAAAGAGCCTGGGAGGACAGAGGAACAGGAAGTTTCTAGCTCTATGTAGCAGTATGTTCACAATATCTAAAATATTACTTTGTTGAACCTAATTTTATATTTATGCATATTTCAAAATTACAAGACTATATTTAACTTCTTTAACACACAAAACAAAGTAACTTATGCTGTGCTCTCTTAGAAGCTTTCCTTTATATTCTTTTCAGATCTGAAGGTAATAGAAAACATAGAAGAATAGACACTGATACAACATGGACAGAATAATATTTCAGATTCTGCTTCTTCAGAACATCGCAGGAAAAAAGAGACAGAACAAAAGGAAGAAAATTTCATGTTTAAAAGGGATGAAGGCCAGGTTGGACAGGGCTTGGAGTAATCTGGGATAGTGGAAGGTGTGTGCCTGCCCATGGCAGGGTTGGGAATGAGATGAGCCTTGAAATCCCTTCCAACCCAAATCATTCCAGGATTCTGTGATTCCATGAAAATTCTTGTTTAAGCCAACAGGATAGCCACAGATGACAGCAACAGTACTAGTTCTGCCAGGCGTCATTACAGGCATGAAGTGAAATTTGCCTAAATGCTTCAACATATAGACTGGATTTCTTTCACATTGAAGGGGTTTTTTTTATTTTACTTCTATCCTCTTGTCAATTTTTTCTATACCACAAGAGAAATACAAATTCCAGATGTTTTTGTAAAGCTTGCTACATCTCTGGGAGGTGGCAAAGATAAGTTAGGGTTCTCAAAACTAAACCACTAAACTGTGAAAGGAGGGAAGTGTAGATTCTCTGAAACAGCGTCATGAGGCACACTGCTTCTGAAGATTTATAAAATCTTCAAAAGGCTCTACAATACCAAATACTACCTTTCTGGACCCAATTATAAGTCTGATGAAGTCAATAATCCACAGCCACAAAACAGCCTCTTCAACGTTGTTGTGGTTTAGCACCACACAACAAATCGTTCTCTCCTCTGTGGTGAGACGAGGAAGAGAAAAACACAAAATAAGAGATAAAACACAAAACTCACGGGTTGAGAAGAAGGCAATTCAATAGGACTAAAAAGAAGGGAAAATGATGATGATGATGATAATAATAATAATAGAATATACAGAGGAAGTGCTGCACAGTGCAGTTGCTCATCACCTGCTGCAGACCCTGAAGCAGTATCCACCCACCCCTGGGCAAAACCGCCCAGAATTTTACTGCTCAGCATATCAGGATATGGGATATTCCTTCAACAGTTGGGTCAGCTGTCCTGGCTGTGCCCCCTCCCAGCTTCTTGAATCTTAAGAAACCTTGAAGCTCATCCCATTTGAACCCCTGCCATGGGCAGGGACACCTTCTACTATCTCAGGTTGCTCCAAGCCCCGTCCAATCTGGTCTGGAACACTTTCAGGGAGGGAGCAGCCATAGCTGCTCTGGGAAACCTGTGCCAGGGCGTCCCACCCTCACAGACAAAAATTTCTTCTGAAATTATGAGAAGATGACACGTCTTCGATGCAGAGTAAGCATGACTTAGCAACAACTAAAACATCAGGCTGGTATCAACATTACCCAGCACTGCAACTTCATCCAAGCTGAAAACAAGACAAACATTTAGGTATTTGGATCATTTACTTCACTTACACAATTTACTGTTTTCTGCAGAATACTTTCAGTTGCATTTCTCTAATATTTGTCCATCATTTCTAACTGTGTCCAGCTCTGGGCTCCCCAGTACAGGAGGGACATGGAGCTCTTGGAGCAGGCCCAGTGGAGAGTGACACATATACTGAAGGGCCTGGACCATCTCTCAGGACAGGCTGAGGGAGCTGGGGCTGTTCAGGGCTGTGAGAGGGCCCTCAGCCCTGGCTGTCCCTGTGTCTGTCCCTGTGTCTGTAGGGAGGGACAGAGCAGGGCCCAGGCTCTGCTCCAGGCCCAGCAATGGCACCAGAGCCACAGGCAGGGACTGAGCCCAGCAATTCCCCTGCACAGGAGGCACAACTTCTGTCCTGAACAGAGACCAGACAGGAGTGGAGTCTCCCTCCCTCACCAGGGATATTCCAGAGCCCTCTGGACACAATGCTTGTCCTGTGCTCTGGGATGACCCTGCTGGAGCAGGGAGGCCCTTCCAGCCTGACCAGCTCTGGGATTCACTGATTTAACTTCATATCTTCACTCAGTCCCATATGGAACCACATTGCTAGAAGTTTTGTCAACTGGAGAACTGTAAAATTCTGCCAATTATTTCTGGAAAATACTCGAATACTTTAATAAAAATCTGAATGCTTTTACCTTTAAAACCAAATTAACAGATTCATTTTTGCCCTTCTCTTTCACCAAACTACCCACCACCGGCTTTTTTTCCTGGTCCATACAACTCTGTGTAAGGCAGAGCAAGAAAAGCAGGTCATAAGAGCAAAGTATGTTATTTTGCAACAGAGAAGCTGAGATTTTCTGTAAGATGGCTGGAAACACAGTTTACAGCCATGAAAACAAACCCAGCACTTTAATCTAGTTTGACAGTCTGTGAAACAACACTTAATGGCAAAATGAAGTTATGACACAGTCATCAAAATAGAACTTTCTTTCACCTGACTGTTATTTGATGCAAACACAACTGCAGAAATCTCAGCCTAATGCTTGGTCTCTGTTACACAATGAGATACAAGTAAGGTTCATGTTTGTACCTACTTTGGAAAAGTTTAAACATACTTATTTATAGTTTCACAAGAATAAGAAGAATTTTAAGAGTTTGACTTTGAAGATATTTTGAAACTAAGGGTGCAGAAGGTACTCTAAAAACTCATCACACACGTACAAAGCATTGCAACGTACAGTCAACAACTTCTAAGGCTATCTACCATTACTTTAAGTCAGCAGATCAACCGACTGTGAGCTATAATTGATTTTTGAGCTCTCCTGGATTAGTTATTAAACTAGTTGTAATTCTTCTGCAAAATGTATTATTCACCTTTCAACCTTCAGTGTCAAGACTCAGAAGACAAACTCTCTGACTTCTCATGCTGGACAGAGCATTA